CCCTGCAGCGCCGTGGTGGGTGTGATAGGGTACCGTTGCATCTGCAGCAGAGCCCTGCGCCAGGTTGCAGCAACGTCTTTTTTCTTTCACGTCCGCGCGCGTGCTCTCCAAAGTACGGTCTGATGAGACCAAACGGTAGCGCCTTCAAGACATGACACCACCACACTGTGGCCGCAACGCCAAGCGCATTCCACCTGTGCAGCACAACTGCGACATTCTTCGCAAAAGGGTATGCACATAGTGGCTGGATGTAACGACGTGAACCGATCGTGATCCATCATGCGCCTTTTTCTCTGTCTATCCCGAATTTCACCCTAACATCGCCGAAGAATATACGTGCGATATTATTTGGAGGGAGAGCCGCTCGCACGGTACAAACAACGCTGCACAATCCCATATTACCCAACATGCGGAAATACCGCCTGAAAGGACTGCCGCCGAAGCCGCTCCTACACACAATTCTTCCATCGTCTACTGAGCGCTGACCGATGACGCCAGCGCACGAACTTTAATGTATGTGATGTTCTTCTAGAGAGGGTTCGGCTTTGCTCGCCGCGATGCGATGCCGTCACGTAGTCTGGCTTGGGCACCGGAGGACAGAGCTTAGCGCGGCAATCAGAGCAGTTGCTTGGGCATCCCGTCAATGCGTCAACTTGCGATGGAGAAGTTGTACTGTTGTACAGCTTGGTAGATCTCCCGCGTGCGGCTCAGGTAGATGAAGCCATGCAGCCGCCGGAGGAGCTCGGCCACATTGAGTCGGCGCACGCATTAGCATGGGAACAGGCAAAAGCAATGGAGATTGAGGCTGCTTATGGAACACCGAGGTAAATCGCGGCAAACAAGACCGCTTTCAGAAGGTGTGACAGGTAGTAAATCACCAGCGACATGTCTCGGGTCACTCATACTATTCGCGGTACGCAGGTCGTGTCGTGAAATATTTAGATTTGTTGGTTGATGTATGTCGCTGCATGCTTTCCCTAGTATCATCTCGCGCCCAGCTTCTCCAGTGCCTTTGCGCCCTGTTCCTCCCACTCTGCCTTTGATATCCACATGTTCTCTTTGTCGGCCATGATGTGCGCGAGCACAGCTCCACCGAGGAACACCATGTGCCTTCGCCGTGGCGGGTCTTCGATGCGAACCTTGAATTTCTGTGTCTGTGTTAGCAGAGTTTAGCCGGCATAGTAGGTGTGTACCCACGTTGAGTCGCTCCGGGTTTCCGCCCAAGACCTTGGTGAGCCACAGCTGCTTGAGCTCCTTCTCCAGCCGACTTGGCAGACCCGGGTACATGCTGCTACCGCCACTGAGCACGATGGCCTGGTATAAACTGCTCCTGACATCGACGTCGGCCGCTTGGATAGTGTTGAATAGGAACTCGGCGATACCGGGCTGCTCAACGTCCACAAGATGCGGCTGGAACAGACATTCGGGAGCCTCGAAGCGCTCGCTGCCAACCCGGATGACACGACCATCAGGTAGAGTGTAGGATTCCACCAGCACGGTTGTGTCTTCGCTAAGGCGCTGGTCCAACTCAAGGTCGTATGAGACGTAGCAGAGCTTCTCCTTGATTTGACGGACGGTTTCGAAGTCGGCGGTTCGGTTGAGAGCGTATCCTCTCCGTAGCAGGAGGGCGATGAGGTTGCGGGTCACATCGCGTCCGGCGACATCGAGACGGCGTGTGAGGTGGTTGAGGACAGTACTTTCGTATACGGGAACAATATGCGTGACACCATCTCCCGAGTCGACGACCACACCAGATGACAATCCCTGCGCGTACAGAGCTAAGACAGCCTGGATCGCCACGTATACACCTCCAAATCCGTAGCGCTCGAACATGACTTCGCACATGGTCTCGCGGTTCTTGAGCGGGTTCATCGGCGGTTCAGTGAGGAGGATCTTGCGGCCTGTAGTGTCGAGCTTCATCTTGTCGTGGAAAGTGTAGTCCCAGACGTGTTGCATGTCATCCCAGCGCTTGACGATACCATTCTCCATCTACGGACAAGACAGCGTTAGCTCCAAGGTAGCTTGAGAGATCTCGACGATGAACATACAGGGTACGTGATCTGAAGCATTGAGCGCGCTGCCGCTGCTTCGTCACCGCACATTATGTCTTTGAGCTGGATGTCACCGCCATCTCGCTCTTCGGTTCGGAGGATGGGTCGGCCGACTATCGAGGGAAACTGGTGGTCGGGGAAGTTCTAAAAAGGGACCTGTTAGCTTTTGCCATGACCTGTCTGCCGCGTTGTATAGAACATACCTGTCCGGCGTAACCCGCCTTGAGGAAACCGGTACCGCCATCGAGGACTAATTGGAGGGTAAGTAGAGCTTCACATGTAGCTGAGGCAGCTGCGCATACCAATGGGAGCTTCAGCCATCCTGTGCAAAGCTCGAAAGGGTTGTTGGGGCTGAAGGAGTGGATGTTGGAAGCTGGCCGTAGCTCGGGGCTGCCTGCCTCGAGGTTGACGACGTTGGCGGGGCGCATGGTTGGCCAGGGGTCCGTGAGCACTCAAACGGGCAACACGATGCTCACAACTTGAAATACAGGCACCTGATATCTTCAAGATTATAAAATCACAGTATGCCAGTGATACCAGGAGAACAAAAGCGATGCACACCATGTATGGTGTGCTGCACATCGCATGGCGCTGCAGGTCTGGTGTACCAGAGGTTTCTTCCTCAATAGCCCATACATACGATCATTGACATCACTACACTCGAAGACTATTCATAATCCAAAGATACTAACATCTCTCTGCAGTTATAGTTCAGGACCAACATTATAAGATGCTCAGATGTGGTCACCCACCTCATGCTAGTCGCATGGTCACCCACCTGGGAACTTGGGGAAGTCGCGACTTGCGCATCGCTTAAGACATGGTCCGAGCGCCTCCTGCCCACTTCAATATCGTCGTTCTGCAACACCGAACTTTCTCTTCAGCCAGTTCAACTAACAGCAGGTCAAGATGCCTTTCGTAAGTACGCCCTGAATTGCGCCCGCAATGCACCCCTCCATTCCATTGCCATACGGCAACCCCGCTTCGACGAAAGTCGAGTGGAGTCTTTGCGAGATGCTTCGAATGCGGGTTTGAAGCGCCAATCGCTGACTCTGTCAAAAGTCCAAGCTCCAGAAGAACGATGCCTACTTCTCGCGGTACCAAGTCAAGTACAAGCGCCGCAGGCAGGGAAAGAGTACGTATTGATCTAACTGTTCAAATCGCGACTTCTCTAACAATGTGCAGCCGACTACTACGCCCGTAAGCGGTTGATCACCCAGGCCAAGAACAAGTACAATGCGCCCAAGTACCGCCTCGTCGTCCGTTTCACCAACAAGGACATCATCTGCCAAGTCGTCCACTCCGAGATTGGCGGTGACAAGGTCTTCATGGCTGCTTAGTACGTCCCCGCGACTTCGCTTTGCCAGACACACCACTAACAAAATCCAGTGCCCACGAGCTCAAGGCTTACGGCATCACCCACGGTCTTACCAACTGGTCCGCCGCCTACGCCACCGGTCTTCTCCTTGCCCGCCGTGTCCTCAAGAAGCTCGAGCTCGACGAGGACTTCGTTGGTGTAGAGGAGGCTGACGGTGAGTTCACCCTCACCGAGGCCGCCGAGGTTGACGGCGAGGAGCGCCGCCCATTCAAGGTCTTCTTGGATGTCGGTCTCACCCGCACCTCCACCGGTGCCCGTGTCTTCGGCGCCATGAAGGGCTGCTCCGACGGTGGTGTCTTCGTTCCCCACTCCGAGAACCGCTTCCCCGGATACGACATGGAAGGCAAGGAGCTCGACGCTGAGACCCTCCGCAAGTACATCTTCGGTGGTCACGTCGCTGAGTACATGGAGACTCTCGCCGACGACGACGAGGAGCGCTACAAGTCTCAGTTCAGCGGCTACATCGATGACGACATCGAGGCTGACGGTCTTGAGGAGCTGTACCAGGACGCACACAAGCAGATCCGTGAGGACCCCTGGAAGAAGGAGGAGGGCGAGGCCCCCAAGAAGTCCAAGGACGAGTGGAAGGCCGAGTCGCAGAAGTACAGGAGCAAGAAGCTCACCAAGGCCGAGAAGGAGGAGCGCGTCAAGGCCAAGATCGCCGAGATCACTGCTTAAGCTGTTCCTTTCTCTTGTTCCTACTTTGTTCTATCATGACAAAAGCACGGCTCTGGCGTCTGGGGATGACATGGAAAGGATGCCTGCCTTTGCAGGATACATCTACTGTACTTAGCCTCACGACCTCAATGAGATGACGAGACGGCAAGCCGCCATTGGCTACCACAACAAGATACCCCCCAAACAATGTGCCCCTCCTGTTCAGCGTGTGTGAAGTGTTCTGAAATAGCAACATGTGACACGCGCGTGTGGTCGGTAGTGGCCGACACCACATGGCGTGCTGTCGCGGGTTTGACCATGTGGAAAGACAAGCACGGGTTGCTGTTTTTGTGCGGCCATGACGGTCAGGTGTTTCAGCGGCACTGAGGGGACAGTCGGTAGTCAACGCTTTACTCCTCCGCGGAGGCATCAGCCAGCAGCAGAGTGAGGCATGTGGATATGTTGCGATTAGGTTCGTTTCAAGGAAGAGGGTGGACGGGTATATAGTCCATCCTCGCAGTCGATCATGATGTTCGGCAGGATTGAGTGCGCGATAGAGCTTGGTGTGGAGAGGAGAAGGAGACCCGAAGCGCAATCAGCCGACACCTTTCGTCATCGGCCGGCTCCCACAGCTTGCAGTGCACGTTCGCCATAACATCGCATCGGCCGAACTCGCACAGAGCAGCTCCCAGAAATCACGCAGCCGTCAGCCTTGAGTGCAGCGAGTCGTTGAAGTCGCACGGAACACGTTATCTGGAGAGTTTGCAGCATTTCCAATCGGCGGATTCTCGTGGAAGCAGAAACCCCGCTGACTTCCGTCCGCCTCACCGAGGCCGTCTGCAACCCTGACGCATGGCGAGAGGCCTATATACGCAATGACAGCCGTACAAACGCCCGGCGATACCGCGTCCGCCATGGAAGACATTCACGGTGTTGATGTATCATGGCTGCATCACTCGACTAGAGGTACGTGAGGCCCGCTTACCCTGCTGGGTGGAGACGTCTCGGCTTTGCGGCGCAACCCTGAGCTTGAGAGGCTACTAACATGTTGCGCCTGAGCAGACCATCACCATCGCCAGCAGGCGCCCTCGTCGCCCGGCCTGACCAGAGATGCGCCGCCCAAGACATCGTCGCATGGTGGCCTACCCGCCAGACCCCGCCACGACGAGCAGCAAAATAATGAGCCGACACCGGCGCCCACGAGACCCGCATCGCCGCCGCGACCGCCCCCAGCTGCTGCCGCTGGCCCAACTCCTCCACAAAAGATACCGAAGCGTCCAGCGCTGCTTGGCCGCGGCAGTACCGACAAGAATGGTAGCGGCACGACGCCACCCGACGCGAAGAACAGCTCGCGACGCAACTCGTGGATGAACAGCATCAGCTCCAAGTTCTCGTCGCAAAACTCGCCCGCCGCAACAACACACACCCAAGCCCAGGGCTCCCCCGCTGCTGCTAATGGCACAGCGAACGCGTCACCCTCAGCCAACGGCGCCCTGAATGGCATACAGGCAGCTTCGGGAGGCACTAATGGCGCGCCTGAGCCCTACATACCGCAGCAGCCTAAGAGCTCGTTCGTGGGGAACGTGTTGCGACGCCTGTCATCCGGGACCCAGGTCGGCACTGCTGGCAAGGTCTACCCGAACGGCGGCATGTGCCCGCGCAAGATCATGAACGTCGACCCCAACCGAGAGCGATGTCTAGTTCCGGAGTTGGATCAGAGCAAGTTGCGCAAGGTTGCATTCTGCGTGGACGTTGAGATTGCTGGTGGACCCAAGTACAAGGATGACGTCGAGACAGACGACAAGACCAAGCGCAAGGAAAAGAAGCTCAAAGAGCGCGGCGAGGGCGAGGCACTCAAAAACCCGGATGCCGTGGCGGAGGAAAAGGACAAAGACGGTGTCGTCTCCATCGCCCAAGAAGTCGTCGGCAACGATTCCGAGTCGAACCCAGAGGGAACAGTCGTGCACGAGGACAAGCAGGAGCCGAGCCGGAAGAAGGAGAAGAAGAAGCGATCTGAGGCTGAGCGCAAAGAGCGGAAAGAGAAGAAACGCAAGAAGGCCGAGGAGAATGGCACAATCCCCATGGAGCTTACTAGAGACGACGACAGCGCCAGCGCTGAAGGCGTACCTGCTGCGACTGGAGCGCCGACCCCTCGCGCTCAAGACCGCCCGACGATCGACCCGCTGCGTATCTACCGAAGATGTTGCCAGCTCCGCGAATCCCCCATTCTCAAACGCATCAGCGACCAGCTTGCGGCACCACGCGCGTGCTCCGTTGTTCAGCCTGGAGTTGTCACCTGTCTGGACCTGACAGGGTCTAGGTTGCAGCTGGCCGACGTTTTGACGCTATCGGACTGGCTCGCCATCGTACCTGTGAAGAAATTGTTTTTGGAAGACGCGGATCTGAATGACGAGAAGATACGGGTCATACTCGCCGGTCTCCTGGCTGCCAAGGTTCCTGAGCCGCCGAAGCGACGTGATCTATCCAACGACGGAACACAGGACGGGCTGTGCCAGCAAGGCTCATGCGCAGTCAAGAAGCTGGTTCTCAAGAACAACCCAAAGATCACCGCTGAAGGCTGGAAACACATCGCTCTGTTCCTATACATGTGCAAGTCCATCATGGCGGTCGACGTGTCGATGATACCGTTTCCCAAGTCTCGCCCGCAGGTGGCTTCCTCGCCCACGAACAGCACACAGGCGCCGTCGCCCATCAAGGAAGCCAGATCGGCAGATGTAGCCGAAATATTCTCCAAGGCCATTTCGGAACGACTGGGCGGCTCCGAACTTCAAGAGCTAGCCATGGCTGAATGCAACCTCACTTCGTCAAGCATCCGGAAAATCATCGACGGCTGCGTCATCAGCGGTATTACACGTCTTAGTCTGGCGACGAACGACATCGACGCCGAAGGGCTGGAACACGTCCTACACTACTTGCGCTCTGGTGTTTGTCAGGGTATTGACATTGGGGGGAACGACCTGAGATCATTGATGGACAAGATTTGCGAAAGTATCAAGGCCTGCCCGAACAGCCCACTCTGGGCGCTGTGCCTACAGGATACTAATCTCACTCCGGACGCTCTCAAGACCCTTATTCCGACTCTCATCAATCTACCTTCCTTCAGATTCCTGGATCTCTCGCACAACAGAGGCCTCTTCCTGGGCCAGACATCCCTGTCTCTCCTGAGGAAGTACATGCCTCAATTCAAGGAGCTGAAACGCATACATCTCATGAATGTCGACATGAAGCCAGAAGATGCGATCGCTATTGCGGAGATTCTGCCGGACTGTCCACATATCGCACACATCAACATTCTCGAGAACCCTGAGATAACACGCGTCGCTAGTTCTACCGACGAGGAGACACAAGAAGAAGCTGCTGCGCTATATGCATCACTCACTCTAGCGGCCAAGCTGTCCAAATCGCTCATTTGTGTCGATGTCGATATCCCAGCTCCAGAACAAGGCGAAGTCATCAAAGCTCTCGCCAAACAAGTCGTCGCATACTGCTTGCGCAACATTGAATCCATCAATGAAGTACCCGAGCTTCGAGCAGCACCTAAGGAAGTTGAGGTTCCAGACATCCTGCTGCATTTTGTCGGTACGGAAGACAATTACAAGGGTACTGACGACGTGTCAAATGCTGCAGATAATGACTACATTGTGGGAGGCACAGGAATCGCGAAGGCGCTTAGCTACTGTCTTTCACACAAAGAAAACGATCTCCGAAGGGTGTCTGTCCCAGCAAGTGGTACCTCTACTCCTAGAAGCAGGAACAGGGTACCAGTGCTTGAAGAGCCGAGCAAGGCCAGAGCCATGTCCAAAGATCTTCTCGAGACTGCGCGAAACACACGGTCAAGAATTCAGCCTGCACTTATCAGAGAGGCGAAGAGTGACAATGACCTGAACTACCGTAAGCTTCACCACCTTTCCATCACGTTGATATGCTAACATCCCGATAGGCCGTTTACTTTTCCTAGATACCACACTCCAAGGCATGATCCAACGCTTTGAAGACGAATACCCAGAGACGCGTCTCCAACCATCCGACGCTGCTTCCACTACGAGCTCCAAACTCAGCAGCTCACCACCTACCTCCTTCGTACCGACACTCGAAAACAGTGTCTCGACAGACTTCACAGCCGATCAATCCGACGAAGACGAACCCTCCACCCTACGCTCGCGACATAACTCCGACGTCTCCCTCGCATCCCGGCACATGTCCCTCGAAGAAGGACGTCTTCATCGCTTCGGCCACCGCGTCCGCACCGGTCTCTTCAACCCGTCCCGCCCCACCACCCCCGACGTCTCCGAAAACCACGTCTCCTTCATCTCCGGTACGGCAGATGACCAAGGTCTTCCCGAACACCTTCGCACCCTACGCGCATACTTCCAGAACTATAGCGGCGACGAGATGAGGCATATGATTGAGGGCAAAGGCTGGGAACAGGCTTTCAACAGCGTCGTGGAGAACGCCGAAGAGCTGAGGAATTTGGAGAAGGAGGACCCGGAGCAGTTTAAATTGTTCAAGGAGAGTCAGATTGCGGCGCTGAAGAATCGTAATCCTGATATTTTTGCGCCGGGCGAGAAGGGAAGGGAGAGTGCGGAGGCGGAGGCGGATGGTGGGGATGACTTTGCTATTGAGGATTGAGGATCGGAATCCTGGGAGAGGCGTTGGGGAAGTGCTAGGTTAGTCGGGAGTATTGGGCGTGGAACCAGTGTAATATCCCATCTGCCGACTTGAGCTGTGTATAGTGGTTGAGGAGCTGCAACGCGCTCACCAGCAGCTCAAGTGTTCATTCTTTGTATATTTGTAACATAGAGCCGTGATGGCTAGCACTATCGCCTTGTACGGCGTTTTCATTCAAATTCTCATAATATATTATCATTGCTTTGATCTTGTTCCAGACGTATATGATTGGGTAGTTCTGGTTACAGCTTCTCGCGCATTATGTATTGATGGATGGATGCAGCTTCCCGCACTTCACGTGACGGTGTCGTGATCGCAGTGCTGGGTATAAAAACGTCCTTCTGGCTTCTACATGCTTTCTTTCTTCATCACACACTTCCTGCAATATTATCAAAAAGACGCAGGACACCTCATGATGGGTCTGCCGGCTGTCCTGCTCTTCGACCCCTCTTTCAAAATCAGTCTCGACTGCAATATGTGGTTTCTTCCTCGCCTTCTCCCCTTTTTACGGCAACGAAAAGAAAAACTACCACGAGATCTTTGTGGCAACCTCAAAAAAAATGTGCCTTGGTTTCCATGTGGACTTTGCTTGTGCTGGAAGAGCCATTTGAAGCATGCATGGGAAGACTGCGCGGCTTTGCGGGTTTTCGAAAAGGGTGCTATCAGAAAAAAAAACGATGAAAGCTGGATGAGAGATTCTCGAGTCCAAAACCGGCCCTAAACACCACCATGTGCGGCTGCTCTTCTCGGCTCAAAACTATACAAGTCTGGCTTATGGAACGAGCTTCTGCCTCGATCAATTTACGGCCGGACTAGCTTGATGGGTATAAAAGCTGTGCTTACGCTGCTCCCTCCTCTCTTTCTTCATCGCTCTCTAGTCTATTGTGGACACCAAAAATGGTCAGGCGCGACTTCATGTCCAGAGCGAGTCTGCGTTCTTTCTACATTTTCCAAACGCGATGACGTCCAACAATATGGACTCGGCTCTTGTGCGCGGATACGAAGGACAGGCGTGCTGTTCTCATTTTGAAACCCAAAAATAAAAAAACCGAAGAGACACTTCGTATGATTGACCCTCGGCTGCTGTTCCTAAAAACAAGTTTTGTCAGAGACATGTCATGAGGGGCGGTACTTCGTGACATCAAACCAGCTTCTAAAGTCTACATGGTCTGCACCAATGCTTGTCAAGCAGTGTCTTATGCCGTCCGAAAAGTCTGCAATACCCATTCATGGTTTGCCCGTCTTTCCCTGGTCTTCTTGTTGGGTATATAAACCCTCGATTTGGGTCTTTTCTTCTTCCTCATCACCTTACAGAAGAGGGAACCTTTACCAAAGTATAGACACAATCTAAAATGTCTGCTCGAGACTCTTTCCTCCCGACATAAGTTTTAAAACCGACGACAGGTATACGCATAACCTGTCCGTGCTGTTCGAGTCGACAAAATGCGACTGCCATTATGTATATAGTTAGAGAGGCCGGAAGAGCCGAATTAGAGGCTATGGAGAGATACCGCCGCGGATAATCAAAAGACCCATCTTCACGGCGCATGGAGTGTGGAGTGCTTTAGTAGTTCGACTTGATTATTCACCTATAAATGTAACCACACTTTCTCATAGAGAAGACTGTCAACGCTTCTATTACATACTTAATTCTAAAAGACTAGAAAGAAACTTCCATGTTCTGTAAGCCGCCTCCAAAACCCACACAGAATGTATCGATGCGGTCGAGCGTGTTTTCTGCATTCTAAAACTTCCACCGGTTATATTCATGTCAGTCCGCCTCAGACTCTGCCCACTCGCCATAATGTTGTTAGTGCGGGCTGCATATAAAAGAGTCTTGCTGCCGCAAGTGTACTAATCTAATCCTTTACACCATCTTCGGCGAAAAGCTGGGGAACTACCAAAATTGTCGCTCTTCCACCTCATGTTGTTCGGTGCTCCGATTCTCTTCCCTGATCGGCACCCAAAATCAAGGATGCAGAAGCACATGTTTCGCCTTTGCCAGTCGGCACATTCTTCAATATGTCAGAAAAGAAAAACTTGATACCGAATTATTCATGTTGAGGCCCAAGTGATTGGTCTTAAAGCGGTGATTGAATCGTTCATGATTTGAAGGGGACTGCGATTAAACCATGGAGAAGTCTTTGGGCATCCTGCAAAATTACACCACTTGAATAGACTTTGAGAAGCCGCTGGCTTCATAAACATCGAGTATGTCGTTGTGGACTGGGTCCACCAAAACACCGCCGACTGATTTCCATGTTGCGACTTCGAAATCAGCAACGACCCATATATGAATCCTTTTGAAGTACTGCGCAGGTGGTTCATACACCTGAGTCGATGGTTTCAGGCTCTTTTCCATAGCTCTGAACGGTATTTCTACTTGAAGCATAGTCTAGCAAAGTCAGTGGGACTCACTATATAAGTCCTATTCTTTGCGCAGTCCTCTCCAACTTCAAACTCATCTTCTTTCTTTCAAAACACTAAAAAGCCTTCGCGACGCACCTATGGAGCTTTCTCCGTGCTGGCGCTGTTCAGATACCGAAGAGGTGTTTTCTCCGCGCCGAAAGATCTCAGGAGACGTATGAAGTAGAAAGAAGGCACTGCCATTTTTGTTATGGGTGATGTTCTGTAGCACCCGGATTAGGCTTAGAGGCATGTAGGGACCTCCTTCCGCTTTGACTGCTCTCCTTCTCAACACAACGAGCAACGTCCATGACATCGTATGCCTATTGCCCACCCTTCGTGCGTCTTTGGCACTGATCGGGACATGAATTCAGTCCGGGCTGGTTGTTAAGATGAAATCTTGGTTCGCCGTATGATTGCGATCGTTTTGGTAGGATTTCGCCGTGGCTGGTTGAACTAGGGATATTGAAGCGCCGATGGGGTGTTGACAAATTCGCTGGACCGACTTGGTTGAACGTAGACAAGAGCCACTGACGAGATTACCAGACAGATGAGAAAGTCAAACAGATGGTTCGTGAACGGGTCTACGACTAGGTATAGTAGCACCAGGTGCAGTCGTATTTCGTATTTCGCAAGACTCTTAGCATGTAGTAGTTTGGTGGCTGCCGCCCAACTGCATTCTGGTAGCTTTCAGGGTCTGACGAAGACACGAAATACGAAACACGAAGAACGCATCTGGCGATGGTAGTGAACGCGACTACACCTACCTTTACTAGCCTTCGGCGATTTATGCCGCGCCCAGTACGTCGTTCTAGCGTCCTGGTAGACGGCCGCTAACGGGTTCTCAAATATTCAGCGACGGAAGCCGGAGTCTGGGTCCTTCAACGACTTCCTGTCGATTACGCCACCGATCGTTTTCCCTTCGTCCCAGCACGAATCAGCCACAGGCGGACATTTCTCCAAAATCTACCCGCATGCTCCAGCGCCACACTACGTTAGTGGGCTGCCTTTGGCGAGTATCTACCACGTGAAACTTCAGGCACATGCTGATTTGGACAGGGTTGACGTGCGTCTTGAAAGACCTCGGGAGGACCCCGGATCGTGTCAGGCCGAGATGTGAGCCACCGTAGCGCGCCTCGGGGGTCCGATGGTGCACCTGATAATTGCTTTTTGGTAGGATTTGAGCCTCAAAAAACTTTCAGGGGCCATTAACTAGCAAAATTCATGATGGTATCCTTGGGCTGCTGGGGAAAATAGCATGTTGCCGGGCTTTCCTATTAATGCCGAGGGACAGTTGAATGACGAGCGTTCAGGGTAGGAGCGGTCTAACGGAGGCAGCAACAGCAGCAATACTACCAGTATCAAGGGATTTCTGACACGCCCCATCACCCAAAATGTCTGTTGTTTCCATTGCGCACCTTGAGGATAGGTTGGAGGGTAGGAATGTAGACATTCACTCGACGGTGACGCTAGGCATTTGCCGACTGCCCAAGCCAACGTCTCCAGCCACATTAACTTGTCGTTATCTGTTGCCCCGTTGAAAAAGTTAAGAGACAACACCGACAATGTTCCATCTCTAGCCTAATACAAGAGTCGCACCGTAGGGACCTTCGCATTCGTCAAAAGTTTAAAGTTGTCCAGAGTACGCTCTAGACGTTCTCCAGCACGTGGCAGCGGATGTAGTTCCGATCGACGCTATGTTGGCGAGTTGCCGATTCCCGTCCACAGGCACCATCATGATGGTGCATGTTTAAACTTCCCGCCCACAAATACCATCAAGATCGTGCATGGCTAAACTTTGTCGGTGCCATGAACTCGGGAGAATCTCCGCAGATGGTGTTTGAGATCCTTTAACTATGCCTCGCGAGCCAGCATCTGTATTTCGAGTAGCACCCAGTCCAGTCTCGTGGTCGCATACAACACTCATTCGCTAAGCGCCTCCAGTCCACGCGATGTTGAACGATCCTTACCGACCTGGTGTCGTGAGCGAGCCTTGGGGACCACTCATCTCACCCGATTACACAGAAGACAAGTTCACCAACCTCGATGTCCTTGTCGCTTCCATTCCATGGGCCCTCACGTTGGCAAACGTCCTACTCGCTTTGTGGCAGATCTACCACCAAACCAAATTGGCAAAAACTCCGATTCGAAGTCCTTATTTATGGATGGCCTGGTTGGAGCTGGGGGCTTGTTTTGCGTTGGGTCTTGTTGGCTACCTGCATGTGCTGAAACACATTCCAGCGAGTGAGTATCATCCGTGCTCTCGAAGACACTATGCTGATAGTTTGCAGGTTTTGCTTTCTACTTTGCAATCTGTAAGTCGCATTCATCAAACTGATCCTACCACAACTGTACTGACTCTGCATAGTGACTTTCTGGAGCTTTCAGGTCATGCTTCTTTTCCAGATTATCGTCAATCGCATCAGAGTTATTGATGTTAATCGCATGCACGGCGACCGCATTTTCATTGCAGTAACTGTCTATATCACGATAGTCATTATCAGCGGCTTCATTATCTGGATCCCAGCCCGGATGCAAATAAGCCACTATTGGGAGTTCATCAGCGCGGCTTGGGATCGCACTGAGAAGTGTCTATTCCTCATTATCGATTTGGCGTTGAACTGGTACTTCTTGAGAATGGTGAAGAACAATTTGATCCGCAACGGTCTCACAAAGTGTAAGCCAGTTCATGCGAATGCTATACTACAAGGTTAGCGCTGACAGTTATACTTACATGCAGACAACAAAATCGTTCAATTCAACCAGCGCATCATCGTTCTGTCGATTCTAATGGATGTTATGCTTATCGCCGCTACCGCTATACCCAAAGCCTTTGTGTAAGTCACTCTTCATCATTGCGTCTAGTCCTATCTTAACGATTTGCCATCTCAGCTACGTTCAATTCCATTCGCTGTGCTACCTCGTCAAACTCAACATCGAAATGGCCATGGCCAACCTGATCAGACGCATCGCCATCTCGAACTTCAACCGCACTGGTGCAGTACACGAGTTCAAGGACCCATCCACCCATGCATCGGAACCTTATAGCAATACTTTCGCCTCCACCCGGGGCAGCGTCCAGCTCGGCAACATCGGCAAGAGCGCCAATGCCTATGACTGCAACATCAAGGCCACGACACAATACACTGTGACTTCAGAGCCCAGTTTATCCCCAAAGGATAGTCGCCGGCCTTCACATGTCGAGGTGGAGATCTCGAAGGGGCACACGGACAACTATGGCGCGATGAACCGACCAGTGATTGTCATTGAAGAACCGGAGACGAAGAGCTTGGACGGCGCGACAGAGGTCGCAGAGAGTTACCATACTGACGATGAGGCTGTGCTCGTGAACAAGAGAGGCCATTGGTGATTCGGATTCTGTTGATCTCTTCGCAACACTTGCTCCAATGGGGATTGCAATACAACTCAACCTTGGAAACATTCGCATCGCGGCGAACGGCCATACAGAAATACCTTCAATCGACTGGCTCTCCATGACACCGTCACTCGTACCAGTTGTGGCAGCTTTGAGCCTACTTTAGGGTTGCAGTATGAAGTATTTGTCCCTAACTTCAATGAAACCAGTGGGTTGTGCCACCCCGAGGATGCTGGGATATGGTGTGCAGCGGACATAGGAGGAGCAATTTTGGTCATTTGGTGAGGATGGCAGTGGTAAGACCATCGTGTTCTATAGTCTGACTAGAATATCGTCTTATCTAATTGTAATGATAACGAGCGGTATCGCCAACGCGTGATCATGCCCAAGTCTCATACTTTGACGAACAATATCCTACAGGTCCATGGCTCCATCGAGGACTGACATCATCGTTGTCAAACCGGACGATCGGAGATAATATTGAGTGCCTCTTGCCATACGCTGTATCGTTGAAAGTGACCATGTATCCATCACGGCGCAGAAGGTCCGAATGGCTTGACCAAGCCTCCGCAAGGATGTAGAGAAGATCTTCCACGTGCAGGTCTGGTGTCATGGGTTTGAAACCATACTTGTCCTGGATTCTCTTCACTGTATCCGGCGAATACAATCCAAATGCCTCTCCCAGTTGTATTACATCCACCGACGTTAGGACTGAGGTGGCGTGATATGATCCGCCCTTAGTTGCGCGATCACGTAGAGCAAGGAGAACGTTGACGACACCGACCGCGCCAGCTAGCATGTCGGCAACGGGAAGAGCAGGGAGGACACTGACACCGTCCTCGAATCCATAAGCTTTGCCACAGACATAAGAGCACCCAGAAGCGGCATCGGCAATCTGCTGGAATCCCGGGCGTTCTGCGTAGTAGCCGTCCGGTCCATAGGTATTGAGATCAATGTAGACGATTCCTTTGTTACGTTGCCTCGACATCTCAACCAAGTCATGTAGCCCGAAGCCCTTCCGCTCGAGAGAGCGTAGCCTGAACGCTTGGATTATGACATCCGCATCCGCCATAAGGTCAGTCAAGGCTTGCCTGTCGTCCTCCTTCTGAAGGTCCAACGCATATGTACGTTTACCGGCGGTAAGCGTGATACTCAAAGGCTAGTGAATGTCAGATCGATGTAATTATAGAGCGTAGAGCGCCTCGTACCTGCAGATCGGGGAGGTCGGGGCTTTGAACTTTGATGACGTCCGCACCCAGGGCTGCAAGAGCCGCTCCCATTGCTGGACCAGCGATCACGCGGGCTAGTTCAACAACCTTGATGCCGGCCAACGGGCGAGCATCACCAGTCTGTGGAAAGGGTACGGGTGGCAATGCCGAAGTGCCCTTGACCTGCGCGTAGTCGATCAAAGGATGCGTAGCCAGTCGCTTGCCCATCGACGTTTCTGCCCAGTGTTGTGGTGTGAAGCAAGTCTGCCCGCAAAATCCGTTCTCCATGTTTTTAATGTCAAGTTCGGCGGCTGAATACTTGGAGATGGTGGATTTGATCAGCTCATACGCCTCTTCTCTGGTGCCAACAGGGGCTTCTCCGTCGATATCGTAGGCCTTGAAAAATGCTGGGGCGTTGAGGTTACTCATTACCTGATACCAGACGCGAGGATCCCGAGTTGGGTAGATGGCCCACGAGCGAATATACATGTGATTCTTGCTGACGCAGCCCTTATCAACATCCAGACTGGCTTTTGTAAGGGTGCCATCGGTCTTGACATCACCGAGTCCTTTACCGTCGATGTCGACGAGGGCTACGGTGGCAGGATACAGACCACACTTGTCAGTGTCGATGTGAATTTTACCCGTTTGGATGCCTTTAAGTGCGCTGATCTCTTTGGCAACAATGCCGATCATGGCATGTAGAACGGCGGACTACGCAAAGAGAGTGAGCACATGGTGATTTTTGAAATTTAGGGAGGAATGAGTACGCACAAAGACCTGCGATTTCAAGGGTCCTGGGATGATGGGTAGTTCCCCCCCAGAGAATTCGACATCATTCAGGGCAGCCTCCTCGGTCGTGAAGCCAGGTGTGATACCAGCCAGGTGTTTCAGTAGCCTACTCGCATCGGCAGGCACACCAATGAAGTCGCGATCAACGAATGTTCCAGGGCCAAAGGTGTCCTTTGTCGTTTGATGCACAGCCATGACGAGGGTACAATCGTGCTTGGAGAACGTTGATACTAGCTAAGTGGTGAAGGAAACGAAGAGAATGCTTCTCTGAAAAGTAGAAGGATGTGCAGGAAGGAACTCTGTAGACACTGATGACATTTATAATGTATGGATGAACTCCTTTTTGGAAACAACCATTGTGTAACGATACCTGGGAGTCCGCAGCCAATCCCGAGGTCGTATTGGGAAGGGTAACATTCCATTGGCGGCTGTGGCTTACGCCCGTAGACGGTAGTAGCATCTTCGAACGCCGAAGTCTTGATGCCAGGTGCAGCGTCTAGGCTGCGCCTGCAGAACAGAATGTCGGCACGTTGGGTGAGGCCCGGGGGAGCCGATCGAACCACGTGAAGAGCTTTGGCCTCGGTTGGGCCTCTTTCCCGGCTCAACGTCCCATTGGCTGACGGCCAATCTTGCCTCGGCTCCGCCAATTGGCTCTCATCCATGGATTGGTTGGGACGGTGTTCAATCTGTTCTACTATCAAGTGATGATGATGTTTGGAGACCAAACCTTGCATGATGCAACGTGCAATGTCGTAGACTCTCTAACAGAACTCGGCCGACCTTTCGGGCGAGCCATGGGAAGATCCGATGCGACACTGGTTGCAGCTCATTCGCAGGCAATACTCCTCAGTAGGTCTTTTGAGCGGATATACTATGTTGACGCTGTTGAACTTCGTGCGAAAAAGAAAGGCCTGTACTAATGCTGGTCGCAGCTTCCCGGCCCTGACCGTGTAGGCACACCATCTGAATGTACACCATGTAACAGCCCGGCCGATACGTACCAGAATCGATTCAGTCCCTGCGATCGCATTAAAGGGACGACGGCCCCCGTCAAGCAACCATCCAATCTTTCCTCACAGACCTTTTCAACCATCCTTCGCAGTCTTGGAACTCTTGTATCTTTCGAATATGTCCATTCGTACTGTGGGTATTGTTGGCACTGGCGTGATAGGAGCATCGTGGACCGGTCTCTTTCTCGCTCATGGCCTGCGTGTGATTGTTGCAGACCCGGCACCTGGCGCAGAGGAGAAACTGGCTTCCTATCTGGAGAGTATCTGGCCTGCGCTAGAGACCATGGGTCTTGATGAAAAGTAATTGCAACACTACACTTATCCAGTGCGCCACAAGCTGATTCGAATTCTCCATCCAGCGCCTCTCTTTCGAACTACGAGTTTGTAGGCGCGACTCTAGGCAGACACTACAAAGACGTGGATTTTTTGCAAGAGGTGAGTGTATAGAATCAGCTGCTCTACAAGTTCACCAGCTGATAGGATGGCACAGAATGCGCCCGAAAGGCCAGATCTTAAAACCAAACTTCTTGCCGAGATCGACGCGGCTGTTCGATCAGATGTTGTCATCGCCTCTTCATCTTCAGGCATACCAAGCTCGAAATTCATCAGCCAATGTCAGCACCCCGAAAGAGTACTCATTGGCCACCCGTTCAACCCACCTCATCTCATGCCACTTGTGGAAGTCGTCCCACATTCAAACACAAGTGCGTCAGCTATCTCAAATGCGATGGCCTTTTACGAGTCCGTGGGACGACGTCCTGTTCACATCAAAGAGGAAGTACCCGGTTTTGTCGCCAACCGTCTTCAAGCTGCCCTTTGTAATGAAGCATACAGCCTAGTGGCTCGTGGTATAGTCACCGCCCAGGACCTTGGTGAGTTTCTCGTTTTCCCCACGTCTTCCTTGGTTTGCTGACCACAGGTGGCCAGACGCTTGCGTTACTACTAGTCTGGGGCCTCGGTGGGCCATGGTTGGGCCATTCCTGGCGAATGCAATGGGAGGAGGCGGTGGCAGTGAAGGGTTCAAGCACCTTCTTGAGCATCTAGGACCTGCAAGCCGAGTCTGGGTTGAGGATATGCAGGAACACAAGTTCGACTGGTCACAGGATAGCATTGATGCCTTAGGTTCAAGTGTTTCGGATGAGCTTCAAGGTAAAGACGTCCAAGAGCTCGAGCAAAAGCGGGATGACGACCTCGTCAAGTTCTTCAAGATCAAGGGCGTGAGGCGTACAAGCTTCCATGGTATTGCGCTTTAATTACATCGATCCCGTAGCATGAGTACCATTTCTGTCCACATCACAATTGCGCAGGCAGCAGCGACCGTGCCGCATACCTCGCCCGTCCGGTGCTAACCCAGAGGCGAAATTGCAGGGATGCCCCCCATACTGGCGTCCTAATGTGCCGGACAAACTGCTTTCTTTTACTACTTGGCACGGCCTTTCCAAAAGCCAATACCTCTACCAACGTTTACTCATACTCATACGTACAAATCCACCCGAGCCACTCCTCACCTCTGCTCCCCCGACCGCTATGGAAAACATTTCAGATTTTCTCGACCACCTTTGCGAGGCGGAAGAGCATCGAGTACAGCTTCTGGTACGTTGGGGCTATACGATTTACAGAACATACTATGGCCCTGGATCTGATGAGCAGTGGACAAAGCTGCTCAAAAATATCACCGACGGTGTGGGAAAAGGTCTCGCTGAACTGGAGGAGGCGGACAAGAAGCCTGACGCTGTCAAGAAAGCAAGGGATTGGTTTCGACTCGATGCACGTTCCCTTCCCACCACCTTGAACGGATTGACACTGGAAGACCTCCGGCAAGTGTATCGGGAAGGAAGTGGGGGCCAACCGATGAGGGGGTTACAGCGCAACAACTGGGGTACTACCATCTTTCTGTTAGCGGATGCTCAAGTGCTACAAGATCCTGACCTCAATCTGCTGAAAGTTGCGGACGCGAAGTACGACCCTGTTGCTGCTGTACCTAAGAATTCCCGGGTTGGTCCGCAGCGATACTTTGGATGGTTCACTATCCCACCGACAGCCGTTTTGGACTTTTACAATGAGATGGACATATTCACATTTGAGCAAATCTCCAACCATGCATTGCCAGGAACACACTGGGATGTGGGGTGCAAATAATTGGAAGTAATAGGCTACATATGTGTGCCGGAGACGGGTAGAAAAGGGAAAATGAAGTTATGGTTACTGCGAGAGGGCAGTTGCAACGCTCACCAAGCGCAAACATCCCCAGGACCAAAGTTTATTTGAGTGAAGTGTATCAATGCAAGTTTACCAACCAATCCCACCATGACCACCACCTTTCCCGACTTCCATGTCTTGGTAGCCTCATTCAACGTCCATATTACGACCTACTTCCATCTCTTCACTCATAGCGATCCAAATAATTATCCCGAAACCAGTTAAAGATACCCTGTCCAAGTAACGCACCAATAAAGTAGCATATCAACCTATCAAACCGAGAACCGTCCCAAGAAGCTCCCTCTGGTAGCCTCTGTTTTCTCTGCTCTTTCTCCTGCCGTCTCTTCTCCTGCCATCCCTTCTCCCGCTGTCCCCGCCGCTGCGTCCGCACGCGGACGCTTTCAACATCACACACCAGACTCCGTACAACCCGTTTCGCCTCGCGCTCAGATACCTCATGTTTTGCAGCAAGTTGCTTGATGAGGAGTTTCTTTATCAAATCCGCCCTTTCGCGGCGGGCGGCTTCGAGGTTCTTGGTGCGGACATTGTAGTTTTTCTCGCTGTCGGCGCCGGAGTAGTCTGTTGGCGGAGTGGCTGCGCGTGTGAGATAGTATTTTTCTATCGCTTTGACTAATTTGTCGTCTGGCAGGAATGGTCCTCCGGTAAGAGGCGCTTTGAGGTAGACACGTTCGTGTGCTGTAAAGGGGCAGGTGGCGCAGTGAAGTGCGGGATTGTGGGTGATGCGTTTTGCAACGGGTTTCGAGACGGGCGTTGAAGAAGAGGACGCCAGTCGTAATTGTCGCGGAAGTAGGCTTAGAACAGGCAATGCAGAAGATGCCAGTAGTTCTCGCGAAAGTGGGCGTGAAGCGTTCAAGATGCGTGTGCGCATCATGGGTAGAAGAAACGACATTATGGTGAGACTGGGTAGTTTTGATAGTTAAGACGACCTCGGGAGATGATTATGGGTATGTGAGCTGGTTGTAGAGTTTTTCTGTATGCTATGTAGGCAGCAGGATAATATTTATCCGGTCGTGACAGTCATCTGGTTCTCTGCGGTTTTCCGTTACAGTACCACGGTTTCAGAGAGTACACTCCACCACCATACTTAACACGTCGGAAGGAACCGGCTTGGATGTTACTAATCTATCCCTCCACACAGGCTGTGATGGTAATCGCGTATGTAAAGAGATGTTCGCGGAGATTGACTGTGTATACCATCTACACACACTGGCTGGGGCGCCGGGTTGGCGGACGCGCTTGTAGATGATGCGCTCAGAGACGATCTTGATAATCAGGTAGATGTTCAAAAGATATAGTGTGACACGCAGTAAAGAAACAAGAACATATCATAGCCAACGGAAGGCAGGCAAACTCGCCAAACCAACCACTTCTCCATTCGGCACACCCACCACTATCTAGTATCTACTACTTCCACCAGACTCTACATGCTTTCTAAGGATATCATAGCTCTCGCAATATACGCTCACCAACAAACCAACGCAAGCGAATGACGTGAAAAAATGCTGTAGAAAGATGCATGCTTATGTGACTGACGTCTACTAAAACGACCATCATATACACAACCCAAAAAGGAAACCACCGGGACCCGCCCAAGCAGCAATGACGATGCGTGAGTGGATGACCAGCGGGAAGAGAATAGACAACGTCCCCCTGTCCGTCATATACACATCCACCTCTTTCGCAGGCAGGCAAGGGGATGACAAAGCCTACAAGAAAGGCAGAACCACACCCTTCCTCATCGGACTGCCCCTGCCATCCACCGTGCTGCCCTCAGCACTGTATCCAGAATCGCGATCAACGTCGTCATTATCAAAGTCGATGTCGAAATCCGGTTCTTTTTCCTCCTCAGCTTCCTCGCCGTCCTCGTCCCCGTCCCACGCTTTCTGTGTCGCGCCGCGCGAGTTCCAGCGGAGCGTGCGGCTGATGCTATCGAACCACTCTGTGGGCTGGGAGAGGACGGTGGGGAAAGGGTACTGGGAAGCGGCGATGGTGACGTGGTCGCCCTGGCGGAGCTCGACGCGGCCCTTGCCGTCGAAGGCGCAGTAGGCGGTTGCGCGCGACTTGAGGGGCACGGCGATGCGGAGGAGCATGCTGTCGTTGAGGAGCATGGGGCGGAAGGAGAGGGTGTGCGGGCAGATGGGGGTGAGGAGGATGGCGGGGATGTCTGGGTGCACGAGCGAGCCGCCGGCGGAGAGGGAGTAGGCGGTTGAGCCCGTGGGCGTCGAGAAGATGACGCCGTCGGCTTGGACTACGGTCAGCAGGTTGTTGTCGCCGTAGAGCTCGAGGTTCGAGACGTAGGGCGATGGGCCGCGGTCGATGACGAGCTCGTTGAGGACCTCGAATTGCTCGGCTTCAATGTGCGAGGGTGAGCCTTGGGCCGCGGCGTTCTTCTGGTACCGGTATACCGTGCATGTGAAGCGCATGCGCAGGTTCACGCGCATACCCGTTTCGCACATGATCTTGTCGAGCGCGGGCCTGTACTGTGCGAACTCGAAGTTGGTGAGGAATCCGAGGCTGCCGAGTGAGAAGGAGAGGATCGGTGGCACGATGCGCTGGAAGAGCCATGAAGTGAAGAGGACGGTGCCGTCTCCACCGAGAGTGAGGACGAGGTCGAAGATCTCAGGGGTTTCCCAGCATAGATCTGGCGTCCACCAGCGGAGCATGTTCTCGTAGCGCTTGTCCTTGGCCAACAGCGAGGCTGCGTCGAAGCGCTTCGACTTGCGCAGCTTGTGGTCTACGTAGACATTCACACCCACGTCTGAGCCGTAGCGCGAGGTCGTCATGAGCCATTCTGCCAGCTCGCGCGTGAGGTATACGAGGTTGTTATCGCGCGCCTTGGTGACAATCATGACATTGCGCACCGTCATCTTGATGGGTCGGCGCTGCAACTGCTTCGAGACCTCGCGGACGCTGTTCGCAGTCTGCATGAGCCTCGAATGCGATATCGTGTCGTCTTCGGCATCGCCCATCTCTTCCATGACCTTTCCAAGGTTCACGGCCTTGTCAAACTTCTTGTGGAAGAAGCATGGTGATGCGAGCGCAGCCATCTTGCTGGCGGAAAGGTCGGCTGAGTGCAGTTCCAGCTCGTTGAGCGCCTTTGCGAGTTGCGAGTGCGTGATGCTCTTTGAGCGCGCACTCTTCCCTGCGCTCTCCATTATGGCGGTGTCCATAGACTGTGACGTCGACGATGGTGGTGGCCGAGACTGCAACGCCTTAAGAATGGTCTGGCGGGGGATCGCAGAGTCGATGGAGCAGGCGTTCTTGCGGTGCTTCCGGATGCGATGTTCGCCAAAAGACGGCACGCGCGGGAGGACGGAGAGGTTCTCGATGGACGAGGACTTGGTGATAACGGTGGGGTCGTCGTTGCGGGAGGATTCGTCCGAGGTCAGACTGGCTGGATCTTGTGTTGCAGCGGGCGTACCGCCAATTTCTTGCGTTACTACCGATGCATTATACGGCGCGTCCTGGGGGCAGTGGACGCTGGTCTGCGGAGGCTGTGGAGACTCTGGGCGGGTGGGATTATTAAATGAGGCATCGGCATCGACGGGGTTAAGGTCGGAGAAACTTGAGTTGGGCGCCTGTGGGGACAGGAGCGGATGAACCTTGGCCGGACTAAACGGCTCCCCATTCTGGTATGTTGCCGATAACATCGTCGCTTGATTCTGTCTTAGTGATCGAGCTTCGTTAAGCGCGCTTGGTGTGCAGGTTGGCGAGTGCGATATTAATCGGCGTCGTTATTCGGGTGCGGCGGCAAGTATGTTCGCAAAGTATGTACAGCGAAAGATGAACGTATCCAGACAGTTCGGTCAAAGGTAATAAATGCTCCAGGCAAAATGAAAAGGAGAGGAAGGAAGCGAGGGATTGTACTACTGCATGGGCGCGAGTCGTAACGATGTGTGATGGCTGCTAACGGTGATCGTGTAACCCGTCGTGGAAGTAAAGATTATATTGAAGGAAGAGCCCGGCTCGACCTTGTACAAAAAAGAAGAAAAGGGAGACGTGAAGTGTGCACGACGATGTCGTGGCCGAAAGAGCGAAGGCGCAGGTGGGGAAAGAAGGTGGTGCAGCTTGAGGCAGGTATTAGGCACGATGCGAGACCTACTATATTCACTCTCCGTCTCAATGACATCTCTGCCACCGCCATTATGGAGCAGTGCCACATCACGATCCCATGCGCCAGCCTCAAACCAAAGATTCCGCCATCTGTAGCGGCTAGCCCGCCGGCAACGTTGTGACACTTCGCGTGTCACAAACTCGTGGGTCCACGCCGGAGCATCTGCCAAACATAGAACGACGCTTCACCCCAAACCGCGATCTTGACACAGATCACAACGGCCCAGAAGTTCCTGTCATCCTGTCTTCGCAGGCACGCTCCACAGCATGGCCACACCGCTGGATTGACAGAATCCTTCGATGACCCTGAGGTTCATGGTCGAGAAGCGCTCGCTCACCGACGGGTCTCAGCTATCGGATCATACCGACACCCTCCGTGTTTGATCCACACTTCGTTTACAAAGCCACAGCGGGTACTACAGTCAAGGGGAATTGTAATCGTGATTCAGTACGAATCGCATCACCGCAAAAGTTATGCCATCTGTCGGCTGTACTAGCGAAATCATTTGGAGGACGAAACGACCCAACGTGGCCTAGTCCGCAGCCAACAGTAATCGGTTGCTTCGAATCTTCATCTGGTACAGGAGAGTTTTAGACGAGACAGCTCACTCCTCGCTAAATGTAGACCTCTTTGACACGTCTACCGGGCGATTGCGGACTGCATGACATTGCTGCCGTTAGTACCGATGGCCCACAGACCTCATACGCCACGCATGGCTAAGACATGGAATGAAAATGTGGCAAGCGTGTACGGCACATGTCGCGTGGAACATTGAGTGAAGTGGGCTCATAACCGCTACCGACAT